CGCAGCCCAGGGGCGCCGGGCGAAGTCTCCGCGCTCGCTCCCTCGTCCTACGCCCGGTCCTCGGGACAATCGCTTCTCCGAGCAACTACGGGGAAATGTCCATTCCCTGTCCCCGTTCTCACCCGCTCTCGGCAACCTGGAGGCGCCGTCCTCTCCCCGGTGCAGGGAGTTCCGGAGGATGAGGGGCGGAGAAGCAAAATGCCACCCTCTCCCGAAGCTCTGAAGCAAAGGACGACGAACGGCGCTCTCGCCCCCTCCGAACACTGTGGGAGCCCTTGATTCGGTCCGGGAGGAGGGGGGCGAGCGAAAGCCTGGGGTCTACATGGCTCTCAGGGGCCCTCGGCTTCCCGCACCCCTGCGTGGACCTGGCCAAGGCTGCGTGGCGCGCCCGGCAGCTGTTAGGAGCGCCGAGCGGGGCAGAGTGCGTGCGGCGGCCGGTCCGCCCGGTCCATTTCTGGGCGCTGCAAGATCAGCAGAAACCTGAGAAAGCGCCTGGAACGCGGAGCTGCGATTGGCCCACCCGGGCGTAGGTTGGGGAGGGCGGGGGAGGGCAGGAGCGAGGAGGTAGATGGAAAATATGAGGGGGTGGTTCCACAGTGGGGGGTTGGCATTCGGTTCCCACTCTTGCCAGCACAGCTTTTTCCTTCTGCCAGAAAAGCCCACCACCAATTCTGCTTCCCTGTGCTCCGCAGCGCCGCGCGCGCACGGTCCCTGGCCGTGACCTTCCCCGGGAATTTCACATTTCCCATGGTCAGGTCCGACGCAATGCAGGCGGTGGTGTTCCTGGCAAAACTCCTCGCATGGGGTTTGCGCTTGTGCAGTCCCACCGTAAGCCGCTTCGGTCGCCACGTTCGGCGTGCGGTCTAGCCCCTCCTGCGGGGTGCCCTTTGCAGAGCCGACCCGGCTTCTCCCCGCCGGACTCGGGGAGACACGGACTTTGGGTTAGAGCGCTGCAGCCGAGGATCACCCGGTTTGTTTTACATAGTGTTACAGCGAGGCGGTGATGCTGAGTGTGTCCCTCTTTGACCTACGACGGGAGTTGGAAGTTTTCTTAGGATCAGATTATTTTTAAATACAGAGGAGATGGGCAACCACCAAAGGCTTCGTAGTTTTGTGGGGCTGTCTGCCAACTGGGTGCTAATCGGGACGAATCTGAGAAGCAAGTCAACCTGCCCACCTCCCCCCTCTGTTCTTTCTCCCGCAGCTTCTTTTCCCGGCCTAGTGCCTCCACAGGGCCACTTGCGAGGCTTGCAGCTTCCTCGGGGAAGGGTCCGCAGGGAGGCGCGGGGCAGCACCAGCCCGGGCGTGAGCGTGGTGCACCGAATGCCGCGCCAACGGTGCCCCCAGGGGCGCTGCGCCGCGGCGGCTGCAGCGCGAGAGCCCGCAGCCAGCAGAGCCGGTACTTCAAATGCGGCGGAGTCTCCGCGGAGGCTGCGAGAGCCCGCAGCGGCCGCTGATTGGCTCCGCCGGCTGCGTGGACCACCCCTTCCCCCGCCGCGGGTCCCGTCGCCTCCCGCCTTCACCGCCCACCGCTCTCGTCAAAGCCAATGGCTGCGCGCTCCCCGCTCTCCCGCGGCTAGTAGAACGCAGGGGCCTCGCGGGGCTGCCCAGGAGGTGCAATAATCCCGGGTACGCAGCTAGGGAGGCCCCTCCCCTCGACTCAGACTCCAGCCTTCTTTAAAGCGGAATAAAAGTATTTGTTCTCTCTGCTCGTCCTGATCCATACCCCAGCTTTTCTTTCAGGAACAAAGCTCTGCCCTTTCTCCACCTTCCACACACATATTCTACCCCACTAATTCTACCTTTCTGTACTACTGCTTTGTTGCTAAAGAAAGAAAAGAAAAAGAAAGAACACATAAAGCTCTGAGCTGAAATACTGTCAAGTCCCTTGTTTGTGTTGCTGCTGCTACTGTGATTGCGGCTGCTGCTGTTACAGCTCAATGGGAAATGACCCTCCTAGACCTGAGAAACATCTTCTGCCAGTCCTCTCAGCCCTGGGCTTCCCTACCCTGCTCCTGTACCTCCCTCTCCCGTCCTTCTTTTAAACACCCCGCGACTGTCATCTCCCTCCGCTCATGTGGATGCACGTGCCCTGATTCAGCATTTGGCGATTGCCTTACTAGAAGAGATTTGAAGTCTGAGTGGGATCACAGGTTACCAAATGCAGGGCTTTATTAGGAGGCATAATAAGATCAGGAAGTTTTCAACATCCTTAGCAGATAGATGCGTTTGGAGCAGGACTGGACCTCTAAGGAACTGGAAGAAAGTTGTTGAGCTGGGAACTCATCCTTCTTAATGCAAGCCAACCGTTGGTAAGGGTTGGAAGGTAATTTATTCATTCAACAAATATTTGCTCAGCCCCAGCTAGGTGTCAGGCATATCACAGCACTGGAAACACAGTAATAACTAATTAATAACTAAGGCACACTAGGTCTCAGACCTCAAGTAGCTCATATTCTGGTGGGAGAAACAGACAATGAACAAATAAACCACACATTATAATGTTAGGTAAAGAAAATTAAGAAAAAGGGATAGGCACTGACAAATACAGATTCTCATGGCTAGGAAGGGCCTCTCTGTAGCGGTAATATTTCAACAAAGAACTTCAAGAAGAGAGGGAACAAGGAATAAGAAGATCAGAAGTATAGGTATAAGAGCCAGTGCAAAGGTCCTAAGGCAAGGATAAGCTTAGCATATTTGGGAGACAAAAGAGGGCCAGTGTGGCTAGAAAGGAGTGCCCAAGGAAGACTGTTGCAGAAGGTAGGTCAGAAAAGTAAGCAGGGACCAGATAGTGCAGGGCCTCTCAGGCCACTGTAAGAAGATTTTATTTTATTGAGTGCAATGGAAGCTTTGGAGAACTTGGATCCATGAAGTAATAGAATATGATTTACTGTTTTTAAAGATTATTCTGGCTACTTGATAGAGGCATGAGGTTGGAGGTTATTAAGTAGCTCAGGCAATAATGGCTTAAATAAGAAAGATAGTGGTTGGCTTATGAGAAGGGATTGGCAGAGGGTTGCATTTTAAAAATAGAGATGGCAGGATTTGGGATGTGGGGGAAAGAAATGTTTCAAGAATGTCTCCTAGGTTTGCAGCCTTAGTAACTAGGTAGGGTAATGTCATTTACTGGAGCAGTGGATTGAACGGCCAGAATGTGAGCTACCCAGAGTCTGGCATCTCGTGTGTCTTAGTTGTTACTGTATTGGGCGGTTGAGGCCCCTCCTCAGGTCCTCTCTGCCTCCCCACTTCTTGCCTGTGGCCACTCGCACTGCCTCAGCCGCTGCCGAGACAGCCAGCTCTGTGTGGGCAGGAGAGTTCTGCGTGCTGAGGCTGGCCACACTGCAGAGAGTGGAATCTGGATTCCTCAAGGCCTCCCCAAAGTGCAGGCGAACAACACAACCATGTGGAGGCATTAACTCGATGGACCAGTGGGAGCTTGCCCAGTAGGAGATAGGAGACAGGTTGAAACCTATAGACAGACCCCCTCTCCCTTTATTCTTTTCAGGGACAAGCAACCACATGGTCTAGTGACAGGGCTGCATCTCTTTGTGGCTCATGAAGCAATGGCAAGCTTGGTGACTCCCCACCTTGTATTGCACACTAGTCTTTTTTTTTTTTTTTTATACTCACT